CATCACCTGAAATGTTACATTTAATTAATTGATTTTTGAGAGGAGCTCAGTGGACTTATGGGATCATCACCTGAAAATATACTGCAGGCATGCCAACATCTAAAGGGGAGGAAACGACCCACAGCAGTTGCAGTACAGAGATGAAGAATATCCAAAGATCTTTTCTGAAGTAAATCAACTTCTTTCTTTTCCACGTTTTTCAGTGATAGCAAATAGCTGTAAGATTTGTCATATCTGCATTTTAGGCTGAAATGATTGCTACTGTTAGCCTTACCAGTAATTTTTAATGGATTCCATTTTGGGCTCAATTCTCAGGGTTTTATTTCTTTACTGTGAAATTATTAATCAATTGGAATGAAAAGGAGCATTCACAGAAAGTCTGAAGAGATTAATGTGGTTTAAAAAAGGGCTTGACATTACTAAGGCATTGTACAAAGTATGATCCCAGAAGAAAGCCCTTTAATTGTTCTGGTTTTGTTTTCATCAATAATCTGTTTGCAGATAACTGGATTTCTCCCTGTTTAGTTTAGCAGGCACTGAACATGGTGTAACTAAGTGTAAGGAAATACCGCAGATAATACAAAAATAATATACTGCACACATTCATAAACAATAACTGAAGAACTTATTCTGATCTTAATCACGACACTCCAGCTTTTAGCTCTCCTGAATGATTCTCTAATGAACAACCAAACATTTTTCCATTTTTATTAAGACCAGCAAAACACAAACAACCCACAACCTTGTACGTCTTCTGATAATAAGCTTTTAAGCAGATATTAAGAGTGCAGTTACTATTTCTGAACATACACAATCAACTGGAAATCTGTCTTCATACGCTAAACATTTTTTTGTTGCTTTTACAATCATGCCTTCTCTTTTCAAGACAGAGAAAAGACTGACTACCGAGATGCAATATTGACCATGCAAGGGCTGTTAAGTTCCCGAAGTCAACTCTAATCAGTAAGTTACATGTTTGTAAAGCTTTCACCTACATTCACATCACACAAGTTTTTCCATGCATAAATTTGCAACAAGCCAATTTCTTTAAGTTTATTTTACCCACCAACTTTCACAGCTTTTCAGTAAGCTGACGTTAGTACATTTCAAGTGCAGGGAAACTACAGCAGATTTAACTTTTTGTAAAGCTTCAGACCTCTTGAATTCTTAACAATCACAAGAATTGTTGAGGGAAGAAACACTGAGCTTTAAAAAAAAAAAAGTTCTTACCTCCATGTCCGGTTTGTATTTATCTTCGAATACTGCCATAGCTGCTAGCGATCCAGAACCTATGGTAACAACACCAGGACGCTGAGTTAGCCAGTGGACTTAGATACAGTATTTTTTTAGAGAACAAGATAACAAATACCAGCAGCACAAACCAGACTGAAGTCTGCCTTAGTTTACTACACACTCCAAGGTGTCTAACCTCTTTAAGTCCCACACCTCATTTAATCCTAAATTTATATCTAGTGCGCACAGACTTGTCACGGTCCCCATTCTGACTGCCGTTTTCTTCTTACTATTTTGAACACTAAGATATGAAAATGAGGTTAGAAAAAGAGAGTTAAGGGAATGTCACAGTTTGTAATTTCTACTCCTCCATTCCTCCTGTCCCACTTTTGTGCCTGGCCACGTTAGAGGGTATGTCACTTCATACGAAGACGCTCAGAATGAATAGATTGCTTTAATGAGCTGCCCTGGCACAGTCACCTTTACGCATGGGGACGAGTAAACTAGGAGCGGTAATAAGGGAGCTGGCTGCTGCCACCAGGTTATTTCCTATATCTACTGTTAAACAGTTTATTATGCATTTCCTTTGTGCCATTATTCTCACATTGAACAAAAACAGGACAAAGTAGACAAAGTGACAGAAATGAAAACAGGAGTTTAACGTTTAACAGGGTGCAGTCCAAGTGCAGTGCTGGAACAGGAGCCATCTCTACCCAAAGCGCTGTTAACTGCAGGTTATAAACGTGCTTCCGTAAATTAATATGAAAAGCAATATGATACTATGTGAACCTATAAACTCGCTTTGTTCAGAAAGAGTGAGTCTTCAGGAAGATACCTGGTCTGTCTGTGGCCCTAACCATATTTCAGAGAGCTCTACTTTTGGGGAGTGAATAAAGTTACCTGCAATTTTTTACTCCAATTAGAAGATTTTTTGGCATTTATTACTTTTTAACTTGTTTTGCATACCGCTATCTGTTTAGCTGGGTCACAGAGAAAGCCATATTTTCTATTTAAAATGATTTGTGTATATCGCTTGACCACCTCAATGGTTTAGTGAAAGGAAAAGGCAGCGATTAAACAGTTTCAAATGAGGTGTCCTGCTGATTTTATCAAGTCTGCCGAATGTATAATGAAAAAGGAGAAGCTGACAGTGACACTGTTGAGAAAATACAGACTACCTTATCTGAACCATTTAAGGAGGTCCAATTATAGATCAAATTTAAAGGGTAGAAACAGCCGATTTACAGACACAAATCAATGAACATGGTAATCCCAATGAATATGACAGATATTCCTGTTACGGAATATTGCTGTGGCTGAGGATCATTACCTTTACAGTACCAAATACATCACATCTAAAAGCAGTAGAACACTCTGAGTGTGTACTTGTATTACAGGCAATGACTATTCATTTTCACCTTGGAGCAGTACATGACTCCATTTTTAAAATGCTGAAACTGGAAACAAAGAAGATTTTTAAGCAACTAATATCAGAAATGAACTGCTGACACATACAGCTGGTATCATAGAACAAATCACAAATAAAAGGTATTCTACTGATCCTTCAAACAAGGTCAAAATAAAGGTGTGTTCCAGAACAAATACAGGAATTGAACCATAAAACAATTCTGTTTGTGGAATGGCATGGGAACATTTCTAATGAGGGGAAAAAAAAAATCCGAGGCATGGTCTCAAACTAAAACCACATTCCCGCTACACGCAAATGAAGACCCATCATAAGTGGAAGGAGAAGCCTCAAAACTAGACAATCTTTCCCTTGGATAAAGGTTCTTTGAAAAAAATTAGAGTATATAAAGACTATAAAAAAATGTTCAAGAATGGAAGTATAAAAGGTAGCATCTGACAGAAATTACTACACCAAAGCTACTGAGCTAAGAAAAAGTCATCCTTATTTCTTAGAACTTCTGACAAATCTAAGTTTTCAGTAACACAAATATTGCAATAATCTTGTACATGGCTCAGACTGGATTCATTCCTGCAGCTCCTTTTTAAAAGAAGTTCCCAAAAGAACCAATGGGCATGAACTCAGTAGACTTACAAAGAGGGAAAAGGAAAAAGGTGGGGGGGACCCACTACATTAAATCCTTTATATATGAAGAATTGTACTGTTAATTCTTTATCTCACTATATTACCAAGATGCAAATAAATCCCAAATTTAATATCAACTTTAAATAAATAAAGGCAGACATTCCTATAACCTAGGTTTTCAAAGAACTGTTGAAAGTCTCAATTTATTTAAACCCACACATAGACATTTACATCTAAAAACCACAATCCCAAGGAGGTTCTAACAGAACAGGAAGTAAAGCTGGAAAATATTAATAAACTCAGGGGTTTTTTTTCTCTACTGCTTATAAATCCTAAAAAAGTTTTATAAGCTTGCATTTTAAAAAGTGCTTTAGCAAAGTCTCACAACACAGCTAAGCATTCTCTTGAAAGAACAGATTTTTGTAATCTCAAATAGCACAATGAAAATTCCTTACTCTTACCAGCACCAGATGTAAACAGTGTTTTTACAAACACAAGTACATGTATACCTCTAAGTTTCTGCATCAAAACAAATCATCTGCTGTTTGACAACAGCAATATCAACAGTTTTGAGACACACTAGTGATTCACCTGCAGCACACCGAGTGGGAAAAGCCCCTCAATCCCCCTATTTCCACTGCTGCTGGACTGAAACCTCGGCACTTGACCGTCCATGCAGAAACGCAGAAAACAAACCGGCCAGTGGACAGTTGCTCGCAAGCACAGTTGTGAACTTCACTATCCAGTTACACTGACTTCCCTCTACTTGTTAAATTCCACATGCGATCCAAACAACCCCACGAATATTCCAAGTAGTTCAACTGACTTGTGAAAGCTATGCATTGTAACAGGAGAGCTGGCAATAAAACCTGTGAACTTAAGTAAACACTGCAAGTATGGTTTTCTTACTGCAGTGCCTATAAAAGCACAGAAAACTCAGAGTCAGGGTCTATGGAGAACTTGTTTGTATGTGGAGAAACAGCTGTTCTCTTGTCCATGTATTCAGCGCCCACCAGTAATTCATTTTTAACAAACATGCTTTGCCTTTATGTAGAAAAAAGCTTAACAATTCCCAAACAATCTCTGGAGAAAGATAAAATCCAAACACTGCAGAACACCACCCATTAATTAGGGATAGATGTTCCCACCTCACACACACAATAACTGATTTGAGTCACTACCAGTCAAGGATTCAACACTGCCAAGATGCAGCAGTTCAGCCTCAAGTCTATTCAAACATTCAGGAAAGCTGTAAGGTGATGCATCATTAACTAGTGTGCTTAACCAAGCTCAGGTCCAAAGTAAAACCAAACCAGATGCTTATCTTAGATAGGTAACTTTAGTCTGAAATCTTAACACCCAACCAATGCAGAAATAGGAAATTCTTTGTTGGAAATTTTCTTTTAGATGTTGGAAGTTTACAAATATTCAGGAAGTATTAATCTAGCATCTAAATATACAAAAACACTGATTGACAAACAAATTAGAAAGAGCGTCAAACTGAGATGCAAAGCTCTGCTCTTAGGCAAATGCTTCTAAGTCTGATAATTAGCACAATCCAGGGAAATTGAGACCATTAGAGACTCTGTTTTCTTCTTTAAGAAACATTGGTGATTTCCTAAGTTTTCACAACGAAGTTACTAAAAAAATTTCTGGACTCAACTGCAATAAAGCCACTTTAAAAATCCCACCTGGTCTTTACTCAAGCAGTTGTACCACTTCACTATTGATTGAAAGTGCAAGATTATTACTGATACATAGGAAAAAAATCCAGCTGACAATAGTTTCCACCATGTTTTGCAATTGCAGTAGCTTTTCTAAAGCAGGTGATCTGGATCTTTTTATCAGAACATTCACTGAGGACAACTTCTTATTGCTCAGCACAGTCCATTTTCCTCACCCAAGGACCTGTCTGCCCCTCAGCCTGACACACCGCGGATGTGTAGAGCCGTGAGAGATAACATTTAGCACTTGCTAATCCATCAGTGTCAGAGCTCCCTGACAGGGCATTTATTCACACACACTCATTGTTATTCAATTTGCTGTTCATTCTAGGTAAAAATTCGGTGATCTCCACAGCCCCATCGATCGGGATAATTTTTCACCCTGGTTCCCGGCCCAGGGGCTGAGCCCCAGCAGCAGCAGTGCTGGCTCTGCAGGACGGCATTGCCGATGCATGAGGAGCTGATTTATGAATATGAAGCAACACCGGCATCAGGGGACTAGCTTTAGCCACTAGAGACGACTGGAACATACTTACTGTTTCCAAACGCTGAACTACAGACTTCAAGCGCTTTAATTTTATGCATGCATTTCATTATGAGTCTTGGCCAGAAGCTTTCCTAGACAAGCCAAGCAATCAGACAATCTTGCACCGTTTGCTGAAATACAATTTTGTCCTTTGTCAGCATAAACAGTTTAATTTGATGTTTTCACTCCTGAGTAAGCACAGAGTATCTTTTAAACCTCCCTTGCAAGGGAGGACACCACTCTGTCCATCCACAAACACACTCCAGCTAAATAAAAAACACACTCCGACACATTAAAGCAAACAAAAACCCAACACCTCAACCACCTTTGCTATTTAATACTGAATTTCCAGAAATTAAGTGGCCAAAAATTCCTACCCTGATTTAATAAACTACCCTTAGAACATTTTGAAAAGAAATAAAAAAGATTAGTCTAAATGAGATCAAAGTAAAATTCCAACTACTATCTCTGATTTATCTTTGATACCTTTTCTGCTGCCTCAGTTCTGTCTTTTGTTTATATGCATAAGCAAATCTTTTTACTAAAATATATCCTAGTCATTGGGGAAAATATCAGTGCACTAGGTGTAGAAAGGTAAAGGACATTAATGCTGAGAAGGGCTTTGTTTGATGGCATGGCCAAAAGTAACAGGACATAGCCCTGGTGCAGCTGACAGCAAATCAGAGTTTAAACTACTGTGAACTTAATCCACTGACATTCTGCTTCCTACTTGTTTGAAACTATTCTGCTACTATGTGGAGGGAAAATTTTCAGAAATGCCACATTTTAAAGCTTTTAAAACACAGGCACAAAAGTAACCCTGTACAGAATGGAAACTGACTTCATTTAGGCAATCAGCTATGAGCAGCTACTAGTGCAGAGTCAGTTACAGCTTCACAGTTTACTTCAGTATTGGGCATCGGGCAATCACAAGAATCAGAGTTTGCTTTTCTTATATCAAAGGCTAAACAATGACATCACATGACTGTTGCATGGATTTTATTTGCCAAGCCAGGAACTGGCCAGTCCCTAAGGCAGTGGCACCATCTATTGGCCACCACCACCTCTGCAGATTGCTGCGAGCCGGTCATAGCTCTCTGTACAGCCAGCCAGGTGACCCAACAGCTGCACTGCTTCAGTAGCACCAATATCCAGAAGAAAAACCTTTAACAATTCCAAGAATATATAAGTAGATATTTATCTAGAGATGCCAACCATGAAAAGACTTAACTAAAGTCGTATTTTCCCATCACAGAGTCAGCGTAAAAGCTGCATCAAACACAGGCTGAATCTGATTTACTCGTTGGACACACTTCGTTTTCTTTTCTGATGTATTTATTTGGACTCTACATTACACTTCCATAGTTCTACCAAAACCAAGCTTTCATTTAAGATCGCCCAAGTCTTCAAAATTAAACACAAGTCTGAAATGATACAGGGTCTTCTCAAGCGGTCAGAGAGCAAAAACAACTGCAACTCCAGTTATGTTTGAAATTTTACTTTTTCCAGATGTGTGATATTCTCAGTAGCATCAACCTTAAAAGCCACTGATTAAACCACTCAAGAATACTATTAGCTCAGAAGGCATTAATCTCCTACCAGTGTCTCAGTGATCTCTCTTACCATTTTTTTACCCTTTACTCCCAGATTATTGCCTACAAATCACAGAAGAATTCAGAACCCTCCAAACAAGCTGACACTACTATTGAAAATACCCCCTTTGCCAAAGACTTGGAAGGTTCTGCAGTATTTCTAGGTGTGTGTTACAGAAAGTGTTACATAGAGTGGGGGTACTAACACTTGATGGTGGGCTAGTAATGTCAAGTGGACCCCAGCAACAGACAGAATTAAACTTATTTATTGACAAGCCCCACACAGTAAAGATCAATTATCATATATAGCAAGTAAACCAGGCATTGTTTCACTACAATGAAGCACCTCCTTGAGTAAAATAGAGCTGCCACTTAGCAAGAAATCCAGGAATACAACAATCCCAACCAAGAAGCAAGGCACTTTTTTTTTTCCTAATGAAACTACAAAAAAACCTTACAGGCAGAACTTGTCAGTGAGACTTCATACGAACCATGAGTTAGGACTATCTGAAAATCAACTTTCTAAGCATTTTTTTTTTACAGCACATTTTTGGGCATCTCACAGTTCTCCTACTTTAAGGTATGCTAACGAATGCACACAGCAACTTTCCCAATACCAGATTTTGGCAGCTTAGATTTACACAGTATAATAGCCCATGTTTTTAAAGTGTTAGAAACAAAATACAACACTGCACCTGCCTTACAAATACGGGTACCACTCTATCTTTGAAGTCTGAGGTCTGTACAGCTCCCAGCAAACAATGGAATTTTAAGTAACACACTTTAAATAATAATTTGAAGCGTTCACCCATTTTACCAGGCAGTTGTGTTACAATACTGAGGGAGTATCGCTTACCCATGGTAACGTAGGGCAGTTTGTCAGTCGATCCATGGGGATAAATGCTGTACAGGTGAGGTCCCGTGACATCTACTCCCCCTAAAACCAGGGCAGCACCAATGTAGCCTTGATACCTAGGAGCAATGTCTGTATGTTAATCTGAAACTCTGCAATAAAGCTCTGGCTCTTTTTAACACATTTGAGAATTTTTCCATGATTACACCACACACACCTCCACAATAGAAAGACATTTAATATCTGCAGGCACCTACAGTATAAATTCTCTAAACCACCACAGACTTGATTTCTCTTCCATCTCAGTTCAAAAGCCTATGAAGGAAAACACAACTATTAAATCTTTCCTAAAGTCTTGTTAGGAAGGTTAAGTAGGCTGAGGAAGGACGCTCCTTCACAGAAATGTAGATATTATCTAGTGGTTTTAACAGCATTGTTAACAAACAAGAAATCTGTTCACTTACCTGAAAAGCATTTGCTTTAGCATTCGATTAGCTGTGACAACTCTTGGAAGTCGTCCAGTGGAGAGGGAATGGAGCTCCAGATTAGAAGAAATCAGCTGGGTTGTCATATCAGTATCTGCAGCTGTTCCAGCACCACAACAGCTGAAAAACATTATGAGCAAATTAGGAAAAGGTGGGGAGGACAGGGGAAAAAAAAACCTTGATGCTTTATCCAACAAGGATAAAGTTTCCCACTGTAAAACTGAGGAAATTTAGTTCTCACACAGTCAATATTTTCAGAGTATAAAATGAGAGAGAGCCTATTGAAGTGTAAATGAAAATTCAAAAATCCCCAAGCCTTGCTAATAAGTTATCATTTTAAAGTACACCTTAATATCTGCTGTGAGCAGAGGACATGGCTAGAAACCCCCGTGCTATTACCCATACCATCACACAACAAACAATGTTAATACTTACTAGATGTTAGGGGAAATGAAGTGTATTTTTGAGCAGTTCTTGTCAGCAACGACCATGCCCTCAGTTGCTCTCGTATCTGCTCCGAGGACTATCCCATCCTACGGAGAAGGAGAATTATTCCCCAACCCCCAGCTCCACACGGGACCTTTCTGGCACCGACAGCGAGACCGGCCAGCCGAGGCAGCCCAGGGGAGGGAGAGGAGCC